CTAGCAATTTCCTAAATATACTTTATTATAAAATGAGGTCTTGATTTTGAAAAACACACCACAATTTTTCGGCCATCCCATTTTAGAGAGAAGAAAATTTTATTTTGTGTTCAAAGTTATTTTTCTAATGTGTTAGAAATATACACAAAATATTATAAAGAAATATTTATAAGATAAATATTTTTACTATATATTTATTACTCCCAAAGTAGTATTATTATAGTTTTTACTATCTTAAATTAAACTTGCTAGCACAAGTTTAATCTAGGACTCCGGAGCAAGTTCGTGTGGATACGTTGGAGGCTTCATACGTTTGGCGCTACGTTCATCTCCTCAAAACCATCCCCGACCGTTCCTCCGTTCTCCGTTTTCACCGTTAAGGTAAAGTTCTTACTATAGCTAGTAATTTACGTAAGTTGTTCTTGGGTGGAATCGAGTTTTGGACTAAAAATTTTTGTTATCCGCTGCGTTATCCAAGCCTCGTTTCCCAACACATAGTACAGTGTATGTTAAGCTGGTTACGGGAACCGCCATAGCGTGGTCGCTGTCGCACGTTGGGTTAGACTTAACTGAGTCTCGGTCAAATGGATGGACGACTCAGAGGTAGTAAGTTGGGGTCATCAATGACAAGTCGAATGATTTTACTCACTCATCCAGCCAGGAGTTGGATCTTTATGATTTAATTGGAACTCTGTTCCTAACCAAAGTAGTCTGCTTGTAAGACGTGCCTCAGCCAATTACAAGTATGGTGAAAAGGTGTCCTGGTCTGGTTGAAGTAATATTGTTCGCCCAACACCAGACCAAGAACTGAGAGCCCGGCTCATCAGTTGGAACTATGTACCTACCTAAATAGTTGTCTTGTGGAGTAACGCCCAAGCGGAACACAAGATAATGAAATATGGATCTTGGCCCACTAGAGGTTTCACTGGAAATCTCCGAATCAATATCGAGGGTTATTGATTTGTTAAAAATAGTGGGAGATAATTAATTAAAGGCCTAATTAATTATTAAACATGATAGATAACCTATTTTGCAAAATTTTCTGTAGATGGCAAACAACAACAACTCTTTCAACCTGCGATATGTTCTAGAAAAGGAAAAATTATCTGGAACTACCTTTCTTGATTGGGAGATGAATCTTAAGATTGTTCTCGAATGCGAGAAAAAGCTTTACGTCCTAACATCTGAGCCTCCCAAAGCTCCTGAAGCGAACGCCCGTGCTGCAGAAATTACTTCGTACCGGAAGTATGAAGATGACGCACGTGATGTGAGATGTCTCATGCTAGCCACCATGACCCCGGAGCTCCAAAGGCTCCACAAGGACATGGAAGCTCATCCTATGATGACTCGCTTGAAAGGTCTATACCAAGGCCAGGCTAGACATGAGCGTTTCAAAATCTCTACGACTCTGTTTTCCAGTAAGCTGGCAA